GGCAACAGGTATGAGTTAGATATATTATTTGGTTCTTTTTCTTATCTGTCTACTGTTGTTTCATAAGCTCCTGTTCTTTTTTATGTATGTTTATCACCTCTTCATCTTTTTTTTAACATTTCAGAATTCTTAAATTTTAAAACACTTCTTGAATTGTTCTATTATTTTTATTTCCTTCTGTGAGTTTTCCCATTTTGGGTGGAGTGATATATCGGCTGTCATTCCTGGCCTTGAACTTACTCATATATTTAATAATTCTTATCTACAAACTTGAGTTCTTTGAGAATTATTGTCTGTGGTAGTTTTTCTCCTGTGTATTCTCTCAGTTGTGGAAGCTTCCCTGTAGGGGATAATTATATCTGCCTGGACACTCCAGTATATACTAGCCACAAACCAGTTTTTATATTACTGTTGATTCTTCAAGTGTGTGCAAATGTATATGACTCAACTTTAAACCCAATATTGTAGGCTTAGGATTCCTATCCCATGTGCTTGATTCTGCCTTGCCCTCAGACTCAGGCCTCTTTTTTAGTGGAACTCCAAACAGATAAACTCAATGTTCAGGTTTCCATTCTGCAGTTATTTGGCTTACAACAGCCTGCAACTAACCCAGTTTTGTCTCTCAGCCATGTAGGGCCTAGGGCCTAAATTTCCATTCTTACCCAGGTTTCAAAGTTTGAGGCCCCTTCGTGCAATATTTGATCCAGATCTCTCACCATGGTAACTCAATTCCAGTTTAATGCTAAGGGTTTCTTCTCTTTCTTTGGCATCTAGCGATCTACCATCTTTGCTTTCAATAGTATTATTAACATTTTGAAACACTTTTTTTTTTTACCTAGCATAACAGTGTCTTAGAAGTGGTCAGGCAACTTAATACATGACTTTTTTTTTTTTTCACAGTATAGGCTATGTTTTAAGGGTTTAGTCCATTTATTAAGATAAAGTTAACAAAAATCACTTACTCAAAACATTTTATTTTCCAGATATTCATTAAAAGTCACATTAAAATTACAATTTTTAGGATTTGTTAATATATTTTTACCTTTTTTAACTCTCAGTTTTATGTATTTTAAATGCCTTTTCTGTCTTTATTTGAATACTACATTATTCCTTACCCATTTTAAATAATCATTTATTGTTTTAATTTTCCTAGAATGAATCTTCAAGAAGAATTGGATAAACTTAAAGTGCATGTATCTATTGATAAGGCAACAATACAAGAATTAAATGCATGTATGGAAGAGGAAAGAGAAGGTAAATTATTTGTGAAAAATAAATACCTAAATACAGGTATTTTTTTTTTTTTTATTATTATTAAGCTCTTGATTTCTTAGTTTCAGTTTCTTCTAAGAATCTCACTCTTGTTTCTCTCTCTTTCCAATACTTTACTCATTGGCTAACTCCTTAACACTTTACCTATCATGAGAAAATCAAACGAATAGAGCAAATACCTAGAAGTCAGACTTAAAATTTATTAACTCTAAAGTGATGCTTGAAAAGGAAAAAACATACTATTTTTATTATTTAGTAATGAAGTTTTCCTAGTTTATAGATGTTCACAGTTTTAAGGATAATACAGTTACTGTACTCAATATCAATTATTCATTTAGATTTTCATTTGACAATACTTTTTCTTAAAATCATTTAGTTCTTATCTATTCTAGAATAAAAAACTTAGAAGGAAACTTAGAGATCTTTGAATTTGCAATCTCTCTGACTATTAGAATGAAAGAAAGTTGAGGAATAGAGAACATGTTTCTGTTCCAATTGCAAGAAGATTATTCTTTTGTTAAAATCAAGATAACTATATTTACAACTTCAGTTAGTACTTCATTACCTCATTAGGAAAAAAATACGGTTGATATTTCATAATTTCTTATTTAACCTTTAGCTGTCGTTGCCATTCAGTAGGCTCCGACTCATGACAACCTTATGTATAACAGAAGGAAATATTTCCTTATCCTGTGCCATCTTCATGATCTTTGTTACGTTTGAACTCATTGTTGAGGCTATTTTATCATTCCATATCACTGAGGGTTTCCCTCATTTTCGCTAACCTACTTTACCAAACATGATGTACTGCAGCCTAATTATTATCACTGCATTTTTTAGGTATTGACAATTCATACTTAATTATTAGTTTTCATGTACCCCTCATCTGGATTTTGTTCCTGTTACCGTTGTTGTTCCAGTTGCTCTTGTAGTAATGTAGTATTGTGAAGACCAATATCTTAATTCTTCTATTTTATACCATTGATTCTCTCCATATTTCAAGCTTGCTCCTTCATTAGCTTCTTAAACACTGGTTTTCCCCCATCTTACCTCCTGCATCTCTTACCTGAAACTTCTTGTCTCTTCCACAAGAATGTCTTTCCATTTACCACTTAACTATTAGAGTTCTTCAAGACTTTGCCCTTGGTTTATTTATTTTATTATGGTAAATATATAGGTAACAAAACACATGCCATTTCAATAGTCTTCACATGTACAGTTCAGCAACATTATGTTCATCATGTTGTTCAACTGCCACCATTAACCATTCCCGAATTTTTCCGTCACCCTTGACAGAAGCTCAGTGTCCCCTAATAATTGTGTCTTCTTTCCTCCTGCTTCCCGCTTGCCTCTGGTAACCACTAATAAACATTGATCTCTATACGCTTGGGCCTATTGTAGCTGTCTAGATCACACAGTATTTGTCCTTTTGACTTATTTCACTCAGCTTAATGTCTTCTAAGGTACATCCATGTTGTAGCATGTTATTTTTAGAAAAATTATACATGTAAGCATTCAAGTTATAAGGCAGAATAAAACTGAAAAACCAAATTGAGGACCCTTGATTAAAGGTATTTTATTTTTAAGGCAAAGAAGCCTATTAACTGTATGTAGTCAACAATGAAGAGAATGGAAAAAAACCCTACTCATTCTCTTACCCTCCTATCTCTCTTCCTAGAAAAAAATACTTTCATTTTCCTCACGTTGTCCTTTTCATAAAAAGATACTTTCTTCCACATTCACATTTTTAAAATAGTTATGGCTGGCAACAAAAATTGCCTTCTTCTCTTTCAACTTTAACTCATTACATAGATTCCTAACTTATAGTTACTTCTCAGAGGAGATGGGTTTTAATTATTGTTGCCTGATCAACTTCTAACTTGTCTAAGGAGACAACATTTAATTAATGGAAAAACCAAAATTTTTGATGGCTAGTACATATGATCAGTACATATTTATACCTATTTCATTTATACAAAATACCTTCTAAACTAAAATCTACTAGTTTGACCTTTGTTTACTGTCCCTCACAGTGAAATAAAATTAACAGTATTCTTTAGGAAATTGTCCATGTACAAATCGATAACCTATTTCCCTTTCTGTATCTCCCAAGGTGATACAACCACAAACAGAATTTTAAGAAATTTTGTGTAGGAAACATTATACAAACTTCAGGAAAAAATAATCATTAGAAAAGTTTAAAAAATTATTAAGATGGCTAAAATAGATACTCTAAAAGGAGGAAACAATGTAAAAAGTCACAAAAGTTTAGATTAATTTTTTAAATTTAAGCCAAGGGCATTAAGAGAAAAGGGAAAGTATAGAAGATATAGAGTAAGACAAATTTAAACAGCTGTGAATAAACAAAGCTATCAGGTTAAAAAGAAAAAGAAAAAAATGGACAGAGAAGAAACTCTTGATGAAGAACATAAATTGAAATGAATGTTTATAGTAGTAAAATAAAAGTAAAGCTTCAAAAATTAAAATCTTAAAAATGAATCTCCAGTAAGGTGAAGCACATGCCCACATATCCACCATAGGAAAAATTATTTCTTACTAGGTCCTCCTGGTTCATTTCCCAAATCCTGAGATCACTGAAGGGGAAGAAGATTGTGGGGCAAAGAGTTGGGTCCCTGTTCTCCCTCCATGCCTAGGCCTAGGTGCTCCACTATTTTTTATAAAACCTGTGAAGGTGAGCAACAAACTTCCCCACATGCAACCACAAGTGAACACTGTCAGCCAGGCCACCAATGGGCCTTGCATACACCCAGGAGCAAAGCAGCAGCAGTCAAATTCATTTCTAAATCTATCTTCAGCATTTATCATATTGCAGTTACTTTAGCTATTGTGAGCACTCTGTGCTCTTTGAATATAGCACTATCGTCTTCTTATTTTGAAGACAGTAAATATTTTACTCGGAACTATAGCAGATATTCAAATGACTAGACTAGATGAATTATATTTGCATATTATCTCTATGTTGCTGAAAGAGTGTTGTAAATGAATTCAGCACCATGGTGTTAGGGGACTAGAAAAAGAAACTTGGGAACTGATAGATTATCATCAAGGTAAAGGTACATATTCCCCAGGTGGGGAATTTACCTATTCTAGCTTTTATTATCATTTGGATAATGTTCTATTTATTTCATGAGTTCGGAAGTTTTAATTGAGTATGTCATGTTCCAAAGACAAAAGAAATGCCTAATTCACTCTAACAAACTTGTTAGTCACTGTTTATACCAAGAGGATTTCTACTCTACAGAGAATAATATTGTTTTCTTTTTCCTTTGTTGATAAATCAAAGTTTTACACTTACCTACAGCAGCCAACTATTCCTTAAAGCAAAATCATCTCAGGCAAACATAGCTAGCTATCCTTTTAGCTTAGTGCATTCTATTTTACCCTGTTTTTATTCTTTGAGAAATATTGCATCTAAAAAACAGTTCAGTAAGAAAATATTAATTAAATTTATCACAATAATTTATCTGGTAAGAAAAAAATATTTATCGACTTGTGGTTTATTTCAATATGGTTATTTTTTTTTCCTTTAAAGTTGATGTGTTGCCTGTTTTCTGTTTGATTGAAAAGGTTTTAATAGTTGTCAAATACATTGCCATTGTAGGAATGATTTGTAGAAACAAGTTCATCTTTTTACCTGGGAGCCTATTTGTTATGAAGTCACACTTGTTTTTTCTGGAAAAGTGATTTCGTGATTTACCCTGCCCAGTACATGATCTTTCACTTAAAAAAGCGGGGCCAGGGGCTATTAAAGTTTCAGTGCACCTTAATTCTGTTACTGTTTGCTTTGTTCAGCAATCACTCAGATCCTCCTGGCAGGGAACATGATCCAGAGAACAAAACTAGTAGTGACTGTGTAGATAAAAAGGCAATGAATTCTGCTTTTAAGGCAAAGGGGGAAGAGTCTACAAAAGAATGAAAATAGGAATGAAAGTATAGCATCGTTAACCTGCAGATCTATTGTACCTTTGAAAATCTTACACTGCAGGAAAAAAAAGTGTGACACTACGAAGACACAGAATTGTGTGACTAAGAAAATCTTGAAAGAGGTCACCATTCAGATACTGACCAAATACTTGACAAGAAAATATACTGCATTATTCATAGATAAGAAACCATAGAACCTTATTTTTAAAATGACAGGATAGTGGTTCAGCAGAATGTGAGGTGCCATAATATATTATTTATTCTCTAACAGAACAACTTTTTAGATACGGTGAAGATGATGGGGTCAAGAAGAGTACTCCAGAGAAGAATGGGAAAGAAATGTCAGAACAGACATTACAGAAGGTAGTCTAATCTTTAAGATATTGAGCTGAGCAAGTTAAATCTGAATTTTAACATAAAGGATTATATTTTAAAATGAGGGCTCATGAATTTAAACCTTGTGTGAATGCTTAATTTAAATTCATAATTCAAAATCATTGGCTTGCCAAAATGGGTTAAAAAAAAAAAATCAATGTTTGTGAAGTAAATGTGGAAGCACTTGTGCTTCTGTTGACATATATTGAAAATGTTTTCAAAGACAAAATGAAGAGAATGAAAGCAATAGAAATTATCAAAATTTAGACTGTATGTGCTTGTTAGTTATAACTTAGTGGTTTAAGTTTAAAATAATTCATTGACAAGAGTCGCTGTGCTACACTTCACCAAGCATGCAGATCTACAATCGCAGAACTAAAAAAAAAGACATATAGTTTTGAGTCCTACATAGTAAAATGGTAATATGCTTATAATTTTAAATTTAAAGTTGAAAATACATGTGTCTCATCTCATTTTAGATAAAAATCAATCAAACCTAATCTATAGCTTTCCATATGTTAATCAGAACACCCATATAAACCCTGTAGTCATTATGCAGCATGCTTAGTACAATATTGGTAAAAAATCTTAACATTTATCTTAACAATTTTATACTTAATTCATATTTTTGTATATAAATACATTATCAAATTCAATTAAGTGGGCTCCATTGTATTTTACCACCTTCTGTTATTGTTTAAATTAAATGCTTTTTAAATAGGTGTATTCTTCTACTTGATTGTCATTTGGTTATACTTGGATTAGTTTGCTTCTAACAAATTTGTAATACTTAGATCAAGCTGGAAATAAGCAAATATGTAAACAAAAATATTAACGGAGCTACTTATGTGTCTTGCACCTGTGAATTGATTTGTAGGAAATGTAGTGATTTACAGCAGATGATGTGATTCCTCGTACTTCTAACACTTGCCATATGGTCAGATAACGAAGGCTGTCATCTCATTATTACTGAATGACACATATCAGGTTAACATAATAACACAGAGAATAAGGAATGCTCATGTTCATTTATCTTAAGGTAAAGTGAGTAATTTAAAATAATCTATGCACCGCCAGCTAGAATGTCATGCAGTTTGTACTAGCTTATCTTTGTTTAAGAACAATATTTTTGTTTGCCAGGTTTTATTTAATTTGTATTTCTCCAGATATATAATGCTAGGTTACTACTTACTGCCTTAGGGTAGAAACTCTAAAGAAATCCTTTATTTAGTTCTAAATGCCATAAATGTCTACGACCTTACTGGATGCAGAAATACATTTTAATAACCAACAGGAATTCCTTTCATTGGACCATATGTCAAATTAGCATGTAATTCATCACTGTTTTTATATGAACCTAATGCAATTGTAAGGAGCCCCCGTGGCTGAATGGTTAAGTACTCAGCCACTAACCAAAAGACCAGTGGTTCGAATCCACCAGCCATTCCATGGAAGAAAAGACCTGGCAATCTGCTCCTGTAAAGATTACAGCCTAGGAAACCCTATTGGGCAGTTGTATTCTGCCCTATAGGGTAGCTATGAATGAAAATCAACTCGACGGCACACAACAACAACAACAACAATGCAATTGGAAGACAATTAAGCTTTCTTATTTCAAAAGAATGTTTATGAAACTCCGTCAAGATGGGTTGAAAAGATAGTAACAAGATAAAAACTATTGAACATAGTAGAAATGAAACACATAAGATTATTTTCTAAATAATGTATTAATATTTCACACTTCACAATGCCAAGGGTTTTATTTTCATTTTAAATAGAGCCATCTCTTTGGTAAATTATTTTAAATGTTCAAGACTGGAGGAAAAGTGTATATGTGTTTGAGTTGATTTACTGCACTCAAACCGGATGACTTTAACAATTCCCCAGACTTCCAGTCTCAGATACACACTGAAATTTTCCTTTCTTTTTTTATAAGTTTAAAATCAGTCTAACAATAATTTGTGAAAGGGTACCTTGAATAACAGTTTAATAGGTGCTATGAACTTTTTCTTCACAGCCTTTAGAAGTAGTGTCTGTGTTTTGATATTTGTCTTCCCTTTAAAATCTTATTAAAGACAAATAATTTTGACCATTTTTATGAATAAACATGGATTTACATTGGGCATTTAACAGACTTTAAAACCACAAACATCGTCAATTGTATTTAAAATTTCCATGAGTTGTGTCTAAACTTCAGTGGATTTTAGTCAAAGGTAGAAAAGGTGCTAACTTCTGTAATTCAAATCTCAAATTTAAGATGTTACATTTGTTCATAACACGTTTTATTTTAAGTCAAAAGTATGAGTTGATTTAATGGCTAGTTTAGCTCAAGTAATTATATTTTAACTTAAGTAATTTCATTAAGTAGTCATTATGATTAATAATAATATGAACAACAACAATAATAAACAATATCATCTCCAAAAAAATGGTGATGATAATAAATTGTTTAGTACTTACTGTCTGCTACAAATTGTGGTGTGTTGTCACATTTAAGGTAACTGAAGGTAAAATAGATGGATTATTTTGCCAGATAAAGCAACAAGAATTGGAAGTGAGATTCAGATCTGCCTCAAAAGACTATTTTCCCTAGACCACCCTGTTCCTTATTAATATTTTTATATCACCACTGTCAAAATTATTTTTTAAATATTATAATTGGTTATTTGCACAAGATACATTGAAAACATACAGTCTATCCTGTCCACTTCATTCTAGAAACTAACATGCTAACATTTTAAAATCTATTTATGAAAAGTATGCTGTTTTGAGTGATGATTAAAGACTCAACTGACGCAAACCGAAGAGAGTATAACAAGGTGATATTCCTTATTGTTTGTAGGATTTTTTATTAAATGGAGAATAAAATTTGGAGATAGAGTGATTGGGAAGAAGTAAAATGGATTCAGCCATAGTTCATGTTTTCTTGAACAGTGTATTTTTGTCACAATAACTAGCCTTCCGATAATTTCTGCATTCGGTTGGATCACCGTTCCTGGGAATAGGCATAAATATGGATCTCTTCTAGTTGGTTGGCCAGGTAGCTGTCTTCCAGATTTCTTGGCATAGACGAGTGAGCACTTCAAGTGCTGCATCCATTTGTTGAAACATCTCAATTGATATTCTGTCAATTCCTGGAACCTTGTTTTTTGCCAATGCTTTCAGTGCAGCTTGGACTTCTTCCTTCAGTACTATCGGTTCCTGATCATATGCTACCTCTTGAAATGGTTGAACGTCGACCAGTTCTTTTTTGGTATAATGACTCTGTGTATTCCTTCTGTCTTCTTTTGATGCTTCCTGTGTTGTTTAATATTTTCCCCATAGAATCCTTCACTATTGCAACTCAAGACTTGAATTTTTTCTTCAGTTCTTTCAGCCTGAGAAATGCTGAGCATGTTCTTCCCTTTTGGTTTTCTATTTCCAGCTCTTTGCACGTCATTATAATACTTCTTTGTCTTCTTCAGCTGCCCTTTGAAGTCTTCTGTTCAGTTCTTTTACTTCATCATTTCTTCCTTTTGCTGTAGCTACTTGAGGTTCAAGAACAAGTTTCAGAGTCTCTTCTGACATCCATTTTGGTCTTTTCTTTCTTTCCTGTCTTTTTAATGACCTTTTGCTTTCTTCATGTATGATGTCCTTGATGTCATTCCACAACTTGTCTGGTCTTCGGTCATTAGTGTTCAACGCGTCAAATCTGTTCTTGCGATTGTCTCTAAATTCAGAGGGGATATATTCAAGGTCGTACTTTGGCTCTCATGAACTTGTCCATGTGGAAGGCAACACCATTCCTCTTCAAGTTGTCATTCCCAGCATAGTAGACCATATGAGCGTCTGATTCAAAATGGCCAGTACCAGTCCATTTCAACTCACTAATACCTAGGATATCGATGTTTATGTGTTCCATTTCATTTTTGACAATTTCCAAGATTCATACTTTGTACATTCCACATTCCGATTATTAATGGATGTTTGCAGCTGTTTCTTCTCATTTTGAGTCATACAACATTAGCAAATGAAAGTCCTGAAAGCTCTACTCCATCATCGTCATTAAGGTTGACTTTACTTTGAGGAGGCAGCTCTACCCCAGTCGTCTTTTGAGTGCCTTCCAACCTGGGGGGCTCATCTTCTGGCACTGTATCAGACAATGTTCTGCTGCTATTCATAAGGTTTTCACTGGCTAATTCTTTTCAGAAGTAGACTGCTGGGTCCTTCTTCCTAGTCTGTCTTAGTCTGGAAGCTCTGCTGAAACCTGTCCGCCATGGGTGACCCTGCTGGTATCTGAAAACTGGTGGCATAGCTTCCAGCATCACAGCAACACGCAAGCCCCCACAGTACAACAAACCGACACACATAGGGGAATGTGAAAATTATCGAACAATATCATTAATATTACATGCAAGTAAAATTTTGCTGAAGATCATTCAAAAGCGGCTGCAGCAGTATATTGAAAGGAACTGCCAGAAATTCAGGCCCGATTCAGAAGAGGATGTGGAACCAGGGATATCATTGCTAATGTCAGATGGATCTTGGCTGAAAGCAGAGAATCCCAGAAAGATGTTTACCTGTGTTTTATTGACTATGCAAAGGCATTTGACTGTGTGGATCATAACAAATTATGGATAACATTATGAAGAATGGGAATTC